AGGATGTGGACCCCTCATGTAACTTATCTTCGGAGTTCTCGAATAAGACAATAGGACAACCAACTACTTGAAGATAAAGCATATGCAACCGATATTTTGCACAGTAAGTCTCCGCCTTAGATAGTATGGCTAGGGCGTTTGCAGTATTTTTTTTTCGCGCTGTCGGTGTGTATATAAGCGGACGAGCCATGCTTCTCGCAAATTCAGATCCTACTGATAGGCAAGAAATGTCACATGTAAGTTTTTCACCTAGCTGAGCTCCAATTGCTCTGAAAACTGAATTTTTAAAGCTGAGATGATCTCCAAAATTCTCCCTTATTGGCAACAATCAGGATCACACCTTTCCGCTGTGAGGCAGCGTACCTGGGAATTACACAAATCCTAGTTAAAACTTGAGTAAGGCTTCTTTCTATAAGGCGCAGAAAATAGAACAATGTGTCTTCCAACCTTTTTTGTCCAGAAGAGAAGGCGTTATGCCGGAAAGGGTGATGTAGAGCTAACGAACTTAAGCGAACTTATACTGAACAAAGGTTTTGCAGTTTTACTAGTACAGTATAAAAACTTTCATTTATTCCAATTAAGCCATGGAGAAGAACTCAGCTTTTGACAAGGGTTCATTATTGTCTGCTCTAATGAAGCCTCCAGTAAGAGATCGTTTTGAAGCATTAGAAAAAGGAGAAATCGCGGCAGAAGACTTTGATCCACTTTTCACTCAAGTCTTCAATAAACAGGTGAAAAACAATGCTCTAACCAATATAACCTTCAGAATCTGCTTTTAGTATGGACGTAAAGAAGAGGTCATTCCTATGTTTTCAACAATTACTAAAGTACTATATAACATGAAGATAGTGCCAGAAATGGTTGCACTACTTAAGGCAAGCTATCATTCAAGAATAAAATGCCAACGTTAATTTACATTGATTTAAGGACTTGCGATCAGCCGGATGTAAAACGGCACTTCTCACCAATAATTGCTTTGCTGACAGGGCTCATATTGCTCCAACAGTACCAGAAGGGATTGAGAAGTACTTTGATGTGGTTGTAGAGTCATGCAGAGCTGGTATGCGAAAGCCAGAAGATGCTATATACAAGCACGTATGCAGCCGGTTGAAGGTTCATTAAATTCTCATACAATTTTTGCTTTTACTGTTAATTACAAAATTATTTCCAGTTGGAACCAGAAGAATGTATGTTTCTCGACGATCTCGGCGTAAATCTGAAAGCAGCAAGAGCTTTAGGTATCACCACAATCAAGGTATATACTATCTGTTAGTATTTTTCCACACTAACTGCCAACTCCAGGTAGCTTCTCCACCAAAAGCAGCAGAGGAAGTGAGGAAGGCACTACAGGATGTGTTTAAATTCCCAGCACACACGTGAGATACCTAGAAGTGGATGGTTATAAGTAGGATAGAAAGACGATCTTCAGATCCTAAAGCGGCCCAAAATATGGAAACGTAGTTTCGGTTTTGTTTCTTCAAATAAAAGTACGTCTTCAGTTGCAAAAGACTGTAATTTTATTGTGCTTCATATGCTTCTATTGCACTTCGCGATCTTTAGCACACATTACCAATTGAGAATGAATGACTACGCATTTTCAAATGATAAATTCATGATTTTGCACCACCCAGACTTGTCAAACTTTGGATTGATTAATCACTGAAAAGAATCTGCATTATAACACATTCCAGCAAAACTCCCCTCAACCCGAACATAAATGGGCAAGAGTTTGTGCAGAATTTTTTTCACAGATATAATTACACTGAATTATTATTTGTCGTAATGATACTGATTTTGTATACAACTAAAACTACATCTAGGAAGAATAAACATTTGAATCTGTCGTTCTAGATTTTTCCTGAAGAGTCATTCGTAGAGGAATTCCAATAATCAATTTTTAGATTTCTTAACGCTCTGATCCAATTAATCTCCGTAACTTAGCGAGAAGCTCGGAAGCATGCTTTGAAGTGATTGCTCTTCATTTGGGTCGTCACAATCAATTCGATCTATAAATCTCTAAGTTCGTCCATTTTCTGTACTGTTAATTTTTCTCGAGATCTAAAACTCTCTAATTCAAAGTACTTTAAAGGCTGGCGTAGTCTTATTAAAAATTTATCTTAGGTTCCGTAACATTTGGAATGATCCTTGACTTCGATCAAATTCGGCTACTACTTAAGGATTCAAGAATCACGGTAATCAATGCAAGCGATGCGCAAGAATATGCGATGCTAAGTCCCTCCACTGTCTCTTACAAAACCGCTATTTTATTTTTTTTATCGGAGATGAAGATTTAGAGGAGAGATTTTACTATTGTTTG